ACAAAATGCACCACACACACACACACACACACACACACACACACACACACACACACACACACACACACACACACACACACACACACACATATGCTTGCAATTGATCCGCTTGCTGCCATCATCGCCACCACCAGAGCTCCATGTAAGCCCGTAAATCTCCCACAGCAGCCATTATGATGCGGCAAGAGCGCCGAACATGCAGCTGGGCAGTTAAAACACGCCAAAGTTTGATTAAAATGTAGTAATAGTTATTAATCATTTTTATTTTTCTAACCTGCGACAGAGGACACTCTTTGGCCAGAGTGCTTTGGTTCATTTCCTTGAGGAGCTCCTTGAGCGCGTTCCGGACAGTCGCGTGGTTCCATTGCTCACAGGGAAGGTCTTCAAGCTTCGAAAAACTACATCAAAAATAACATATAGATGTGGCAAAAGTATTTACACTCGGTGCTTATATAGAAGTCCAGATACTTGTGTAAAAAGTACTGAGGTACTGATTCAAATCCTCCACTCCGAAATCCGTCATCATGGATGCTCAGTCAATCAATTTCTCAACTGCACTTTATGTTGCGTTGTCCGTGGAGGTTGAAATAAGTAACCGGCCTATTTTGATAATGAAGTATGTTCCATACGTTTTCATATGTAGCGAGTGAAAATAAAAACTCCCCAGGACAAATACATCCACAGACATCTGAAGTTTCCATGTGTTGCGGCAAAGATTATACTTGTCAGACAGTGACTACGACTTTCAACGCACACAAGTGGAGGTGTGGCGTTGGCAGAATAGGCTTCACTTTCACACAGGCAGTGTCCATCCTCAGTTCTGGTTCTACCACAAATCCCAAAGCCCCCCTCGCATTCTGTCGCAGTGGTGGCTCCACAGAAAAATCTCAGTTTTTACAGGCAATATAAAATGAGCAGTCACTTTCTTGGTGACACTCACTCCAAAAGGATGAGCGGCTTGTGTCATGTGACTCCCCTCCATATTATGCCATAAGGATATTTGCCTCGGTCTCAACCCCTCACCTCCGGTGCCTTCGCCATCATCTTTTAACCCCAACTAAATGAACCCAGGACCATGCGCCCTGCTCTGCCATCACCACGTTTACGCGTATCAACATGTCAACAAATCCCGGCTGGTATGTGCCTCGACAATACTAACAAAAACGCCTCTCATCTGTACTTTATCTGGTTTTATCTGTCCATCAGGGCTTTGGCTCCACTCTTTCCCAAGGAGTCTGATGCTAGATAAATGCTTGAAGGCTTCAATTGAGCTTTGGTAATCAATTCTTAATGTGTAATCAGCTGCAGTGACATCACCGCATTACTTCAGAGCTGGAGTGTGACCAAGATAGGGAAAAGTCTGACCTTTGGACTTGGATACGAAGGGTGACCATGTGGTAGACCTCCATGAGCATGTCGGCCACAGTCGCCTCCGGGGCATCTGTCAGGAAGTGGATGGGCAGAGGGTTCCACCTCCCCACCTTGATAATACCTGGACGAACCAAAGCAGAGGGGAAGCCGTGTTTTGATTTGGAGCTTAACACGAACCAACAAGCTGCTATAAAAATATGAACAGACATTTGATGACTCGACTCCAAATGCTTTTGGCCAATATTGAACAATATTAGGGATCTATTCCAATATATATTCATTTAATACATGCAAGAATTGTCTGCATGTGGCATTTGGTGCTGCTGATTTGCTTAGCAACAGAGTTGGGCTAAGCAGTGTCCCACAATGCCTGTGTGTCTATGAACTGAGACCCTGTCACACTTCATCAGCACTGACTTACAGAAAAGGCGCCATCCCACTTCCGCTACTGCCGCCAAAAGTGGAAAATTTCCACTTTGAATTTTGGTCGTCCTACCGTTATGTGAAAAAAAACATTCAAATAAACTCACCAATGATGCTTTTATACGTAATAGTCCCTGAGTCATTGAACACAAACCATGAATTCAATCCGACATTAACTTAATTTTTATGGCTGCATCTTCATCACTGTGACTGTGGTCAGGTTTGCGTTTCAAATGAACGAGTTGTTTCTTGTTTCTCGTGTTGTGACATGATGTCAATATGGAGCTCTTGATTAAAACAACATGCTGAACGTCTGAATTAGGATCATAAGAAAATCAAGCGCGGACATGAGCGGGTACATAAATGTATACACACGCATGCACGCACGCACGCGCACTGGCTGGAGCTGCAAAAAACTAAACAAAGCTAATCACATTACTGTCCTCTAAATGAGATCCAGACCAGTCTGAGAAAAATGTCTCTCTCTTTCCCAACCCCTTTTGCATGCCTCTCTATTTCTCATTTCTTTGGATTTGTTTCTTCCACTTGATCCCTCAGTGGTCCTCTCACTGTGTCATGGTCATAACATTAGCTATGTTTGCGCAATCGAATGACACCCTATACAGCGAATGTGCGAGTGAGGATAAGCGGTACAGAACATGGATGGATGGATGGACATTACTCGAGGGATGCCACCAGAATTTTGGGGCCCTATGAAAAAGAAAAAACAAAACGTTTACTTCGGGCCCCTCCACGCCAATTAAAAATAACATTTTTGGAAACCCATGGCACTTCCTCTCCCCCAGTTTCGGTGCTCCTGCACAAGACCATCAAGATAATATCCATTTGGAACCCTTAACTTAATTATGAAGATGTAAATTTCAGATTATCAAACCAACATGAATGTTGATTATGCGCTTTTATTCCCCTTTTTTGAATTCGCAGTTTATAAGCCATCCAATGAAAAACAAACACGTAACTCCCGAAAATGTTTTCTGGCAAAAAAAGATTCTTTCACAATTTTTAGGAAAGGAAAAAGGAGCAACTTGGACATGAGTTGTTTTGGATAGCAACTATGTTTTGTTTGTGTAAAAAGAACAAGTCATCAAGTCTGTTGTTCACGAGCAAACAACATTATTTTTATTTTGTCATTGTCCAATAAAAAAACATTTCACTCCAAATGTTGCTTGTCTTTGTAATATATTTTCTAATGGGCCACAATAATACTCATACTTTAGGATTTGTCAGACAGGACACATTTCCCCTCCCCAAAAAAAAGACCCAAAACGATTTAAACAGTGATTTAAACACAAAATAAAGAATTGGATCCTCATTGGGGAAACGAGTGACCAACCAAACCAATGCTACAAAATGTAATCTACACTATATCCCTGACATGCCTGCGGAAAACACAGCGGATATAAATGTTGACGTTGAAACAAAACAAAAAACTTGAGCACATCTCTGAATCCATCCGTCTGTATCGCTTTGCGCTGTTGTTGTCGTCTGCACTCAGCACGCCCGATAATCGGTTGTTGGAATCAAACGCGTGAATAAGCAGACAAACACAAAAACTCACTGCAGACGTGTCCATGCAGCATCTGGCATGCAACAACACACACGCTCACATACACACAAATACACATATGGCACACGTGCACACTGCCAGTGTGATGGCAAGTACGTTAATAATTGATTCATCATTTCTGGTCAGCAAGGGGGCTGTCTGCTTGTTGTCCACGTTTCAAAAGTTGAAATTCTTGTTTCCCGCATTAAACATTCCGAGTGCCATCTGCGCTCCAGCATGGATGCCCAAGTGCGCACTCCCAGTCCCGGCGTCCCAGTGTCCCATATCATGAGCTAAAGGCCTTTTTATTGAGGCTGGACACTTTAAAATGCATCATTTTCTGATGCACGTACCTTGGTGAGTCCACTGATGTTTGATTCACTTGGTTTGAATGTTTAAAAGCACGCTGTCACGGCAATAGATCAGTTTCCACTTCATCAGTGCGTTGTGTCACTGATAAAGGAACACAGTACGGTGTAAAAAACGAGTACGGAATCAAATCGCTTCATGTGGAACCCTGTAGCGTCAATCTTTGAACAACGACACACTGTTCTTGTGTTCAGCAAATTGTTACAATGTGATGGCTGCTCACTGTAACAATGCTGCCCAGTATTTTAAGAGAAGATAAGATAAGAAAACCTTTATTAGTCTCACAATGGAGAAATTCCCAATTCACAGCAGCAAAGTTACAAAAGGAAGAAGTAGAAGAACAAAATATAGGAGCTGCTGTAAAGGCAGCCACTCTCGCGGCGCCAGCTTGAAAACAAAATAATACAACACAACACAAAAGACATAGACAGTCGTGCAATATTTAAAACAACCTCCAAAAAAATGCACTGTGTAGGAAGTGTTTAGGCGTGTGTACTTGTTGGATTTCAAATACGACACAAACACTGTAATGGAGTGTATTCACGATGAATGAACCCTAACTACTGACACATTCAAATGTTTCCAGATAATGTAGAAAAAGCAGGAGCCACTTTGAAGCAACCCCTCCTCCGCCCCCCACCAAAAAGGTCCCAAAAAGTTGAACGTCCAGTGTCTTGGTGCCGCACGGACCCGTCAGACGTGGCACTGCAACAATGCTGACCACTGTTCACTGTTCACCGACGTCAAGCCCTAAAGTACACGTCTGCGCCCATCCGTGCTATAAAAACCTTCAGACCCTTATAATTGAAATAAACAATATCTCCCACTTAATTACCGGCCTGGGCTAATTAAAGAATGGCCGTGGTCCTCGGCCGGGCCTTTAAATACACCAGTGGGACGCAAGAATGCAGGACACAATTCAAACAGGCAGAAAATAGCCGGGACTCTGTGTAATTTTGGTCGTGGACCGCAGAGGGAAAAATGTATAATTTAAGCCAGAAATTATTCAGTTAACATAAATGGTTGTTTTAAAAAACAAAAAGTATTCATTAGAGAGAAGCCGGAGGGAGGCGCGTCTACTTTGTCTGCGAAGCTGCATGACAACGCACTCTTCCGTTCAAAGCGTATGCCGGTGTGTGCGTGTGTGTGTTTTCGAAGGCTTCTTTGCCGAGGTGAAATCAAGTTGACGCGCGTCTATGTGTGTGCGTGCGTGCGTGTTGATATGCACTGGCTGTGAAAGACTCGCGCTGCACTCACATTGGTTTTGCATTTTGTGTGCGGCGTGTGATGCCCGCAGGAATTAGGGCCAAGTGGGGCAGTGCAGCATCCTATCCAGTAGGTGTCATTTTGATTCAAAACAACAACGGCAACGACAAACTCGTGGCAGTCTTTAAAAGTCGGGATTCAAATGCAAAAAGAATGCCGCTTAATAATCATAATTGTAATAATAGGCCTACTTTTTAAATAAATTATAATTCCTTTCGACTTCGATGGCGTTTTTGCCATCTCTCCCTGTCCTTTTTCCGCCTTTTTATGCAGTGGAACTCCATCTGCCTAGCGGCGAAAACTGGATGGGAGCACGTTGCATTTACTCTGTTACGTTTTCTTTAAAACATTTTGGATCAATTGTACTTGTCAGAGTAGATTTAATGCAACATACTTTTCACTTTTACATGAGTGTTTTTGTTCAGAGAAAAAACAACTCCACTAAATCCAGACATATTCTGCTTGCTACTTTTAGTTAGACTTATTATTAGTTGCACAGTCTTGGTTGGCCAGAGAGGCGTCTGCGTCGGGCGCTGTCAAATAACCCTGTTTCAACAATCCAATGCAACCAAAAGCACCGTTTGACTCCATTTCACCAATCAAACAAAGCCAGGCAGTCACATGACCGCACACAACGTCTCCACAGCGCCACACAGAGACAAAGTTTTCAGAGTGACTAATTTAGATGGCAGAAATAACAGAGGAAACAATGGCGTGCGACTCACAGTCACACTCACATCCGGGGCCTCACATTAATCCATTTACCAAACAGATGATGAAAAAAAAAAAGTATGTGATGCACTGTGATCTGCGTCTGCCTAAAATTTTCCATATTTCACCCTACAAGAACGCAACTTGAGAAAACACCTTGTGGTTTTCTTTGTAAACTCTGCCTGGTGAGTCTATTGTGCCGCTTCATGGTTGGAGACAAAGAAACTCAGTTTGCATCAATTTATGTTATTTCATAAAGATTACATTTATTCTTGTTTTAAGCTGCGTTCACACGTGCACATTTGTTTCGGCGTAGCATCGCAAACGAGCATTTGCTCTGGAGCAAATTTTTAAACCACCTCCCTGAGGTGGATCAAATTTGGTCCGGTATAAGCTCTTTAGTGGAGCTACGCCGGAGCAAATGTGCGCGTGTGAATGCTCGACTGGATTTGTTTCGGAGCTGCGTCGGACCAAACGTTGTCGTGTGAACGGGGCTTTAGTTTAAGTGATGTCGTTGGCATTGGCAGAGCTAGACTTTTAACCTTGGGGTGAGGGAGAAGTGGGGGTGTGGCATGGCCACGCCCATCTCAGGTAGTCAACAAAACAAAAACACAAAACTCACAGATCCGCACGCACGCACGCAGAAGATACTGACAAACATCCATTATGTGTTGCTAACGGAGATCGGAGAAAAATGTGGAAATAAATTCACTGAAAAAAAATCTGAAAATATCCAAAAATCAATTTTCTGGTCTGGTACCTGGGGTTCCAAGCATATTTTAAAA